AATATACGGCTAGCTTAATATTTATATATAGAGTCCTCGGCTTTATTTCTGTTAATGATAATCATGAAATTAGAAACAAAATAACAAGAAAAAAGTAAAATCACAAAAATTCAGAACTCCGAGAAAAATTCAAAACGGAAAGTCCCTACTCAAATGGCAAAATCAAAAGTTCAAACACATCAAACGAATGGATATAACAACAGTCATATTCCTTACTTGGTACAGGCATTTTCTTATGTAGAAAATGGTGGATTAAACCTGGTTTTATAGCTAGCTAAGACAGATGAGTTTTTAACAGGCTGGCAATAAAACTACATATTGAAATATCAGAGTTTATCTCCCTAAATTCCCCCTAAAAGCACGCATCCGGCATGTATTATTTCCTCTAAACAATTATGATTATTTAAAATGTGTTTCTCCAACCTAAAATTGACTACATAAAAATATTTTTTAACGATAAATAGTTAAAAAGCTGTCATTTTGCTGGTGGTGGTATTTTGGGCAACTGCATTGGTTGTTATGATTGGCTGTGTAATTAGCAAGAAGTGTCATTGCAGGAAGTTTATGATGTCAAAAACTTCCTTAGTATTAGCACTAAATGAAATGTGTTATTTTGTAGTATGGTGATTGGAATCACAGACAAATATTTTTTTCTTTGTAAAACGAACAGAAGTTTGATAAGCAACTAATGATAAAAAGGGAATTAACCCAAAACCAATAAAGCGCGCGCTTTTTAAAGGTTCTAAAAGTCTAAAATTCTATAAATTAATGATATATCCTGAACCGTCCAAAAACTTAAAAGGTAACAGGGAGGGCCCAGCCATTTTTAAAAGGGGTACAACCATATGTCCCCATTCAAATGCATTGATCGTCTGAAAAAGGGGGTCCAACACCCGGAACCCCCACTGGATCCGCCACTGATTAATATTTGTTGCACAATTTTATTCCACTTTCCGAGATCATGCAATTTATTAATGCTTTAAGAAAAGTCGCGGTGGTGGTTTAGTTTGTAATGTTTAGGTCTTGATTTTTTTTTGTTTTTTTTTAGGGGGTGTGTCTTTTTGTAATTAACGTTGTAAGTTTTTTTTCTTTTTACTGGAAAAAAAGGAATATGTAGACCTAACATGACGAGATAAAATGTAAAGATATATGCTTATATCTTACTGACCGTCTTTACTCATGATGTTTGCTTTTATTAGAAAGAAATCTTGAGATGTCCGTATAATAAATATCTTCATTTTCCAGTGGCAGTCCAAATTTCCCGCCTTTCATCCGGGACCTACCTCACAGAATCCTGTGTACTAACTGTTTACTGCCACTGGACGTAAAACAAGCAACACTCAATCAAACGTTTTGGTGTACGTCGAAATATTAACAACTGGATGTTAAGCAAACTGCAATCAATCAGTTGTAAAGAGTGGGTCCCATTGGGGTCTACGCCCGGGGGTTACTGACTATCCTTTCGGGTATAACTGTGCCGACAACACTTGCCAAATCATACCCTGTTCTAACCAGAAAACATTGATAAACATATCCTGCTCTAAACAGAAATATTGAAAAACATACCCTGTTCTAGACACGCTCAGAAAATGTATACCCTGTTCTAGACACGCTCAGAAAATGATCCTGTTCTAGACCGTATACAATAGATGCTGTTCTGACCCGGGTTCTAGACTGTATCTTAAACAGTTAAATAAGCGATCCTGTTCTAGACAAATACTTTGTTTAAAAAAAGACCCTGTTCTCACCAGCAGGGCATGAAAAAGCGACCCTGTTCAAACAGAAGGACATGAAAAAGGGACCCTGTTCTAACCAGCAGGGCATGAAAAAGCGACCCTGTTTTGCGGCACACTCGTACCACTAAAAATATAGGAAGAACCCCCCCCCCCCCCCCCCCGGGGGGTCTAAGCGTGACGCGTGATTGGCCGATCTTTTTTAAACGTGACACGTGAAAGTAAAATTATTTTGCGTGAAAACGGGAAACAAAGTCGGGCGGGACACAGGAAATTACAAGCGCTATTATTGCAACGATAAGCGGGATACGGGATTCTGTCGAAACAATAAGCGGGATCCGGGATCAGACCCCCCAAAGAGACCCATTAAAGAGACATAATTTTCAAATTACACAAACCAAGGATTTTGAACAGATATATCATGTTAAGGAGGGGTATTTGCGAAAAATACCAGTCGAGAGAATGTTAAATATCGCGAGCCGTAAGGCGAGGGAAATTCATTCTCAAGACTGGTATTTTTCGCAAATACCCCTCAAGAACATGCTATATCTGTTTAATTACACCGAATGTTAACGTTCAAAAACACATTGATGATCGTGACGTTACAAGCGTCCAGTCGGATAGAGTATTTTTCGGCAAATACCACGGCAGAGAGGGTAAAAAAGGCATATCCTTTTTGCATATACCCCGGCGGCGTTAAAAAATGAACGATATTCATTTGATAACAGTAAATTGGTGAAAAATACACTGGCTATCAACCAATCAAAACCCAGGATTCTTACATAAGGTGTAATTAGTATAGTAACATACTATACAAATCCTTGCACAAACTTTGATTACTAGAATACTTTTTTCAGTAAACAGTAAATTCAAGACATCTTTTTCTAGCTTTGGACTAATTTTCCTTTGAAAATTATTCAAATGGACTTTTAAAATTTAGTAAAATAATGAATATTGACTTACTTACCTCGGAAACAAAGTCTAGGGGACACATTTCACTGAACTGAATATATATATATGATGCGAAATAATTCAAATTAACATGTCAGTAATAGCTAAATTTTACACATGCACATGGCGTCTTTTTCAATATATAATTTATAATAATACATTAAATTCATGGCAAAATCATGGACGTGTTTTCGAGAAACACTCACTTGTAAAATATACATAAACAAAAATGGTTGGGAAAAGATGTATATATGGGTAAAAAATAACGTGTATAATAAAATGTTTAAGTATTCCAGCTGAATATTGAGAGGAAACCAAAAAATGCACATATAGGTTGTTAATTTAAGCTGCATCTTGATAAACAAATCTAGCAGAACAAATTCAACACAGTGAATCTGAGTAACATTTTTTTCCATAATTGTCAGAGCCTCCTCATGGGGTTTTTGATTATGTGATTACTTGGCCATTTTAATAGTGATTAATTGATTACCAGACCAAATACTTCCTGATTATTTGAGTATTTGATAATCTAGGACTGTATTTTGGATTATTTGATTATCTTGTTTAAAAAATAATTTATGATTATATTGGCAAAAAATATGATTATGTGCTTATTTTGACACCTCCATGAGGGGCCTCATAATTCGAAATGGGACATTGAGTGTTCCAATTTGCCTTTAAATGAATATATGTTTTCCAATATTTCAGTTAATTTCGGTCCACTTCACAGAAATAAAATTTTGAGAATAAAACATTGGAGAGCTCATTAAGTCAAACAAGGGAGGGACAAGTGACTCATTTTTTTAGAACGAGGATTTGCAATAAAAGATTTGAATTTTTTCAGGTTATTGTCCCTCCCCTTCAAATCAGGAGGAAGATATTCTTTAGTGGTAGAAATGTTTACGGTAACATGAATTTGTAGTCCGAGTTTGCTCTGCCGTCTGATGACCTTTTAAGGACATGAAGTGATCGTAGTCCGAGATTGCCCTGACGTCTGATTAAGACATGAAGTGGTCGTAGTCCGAGATTGCTCTTACGTATGATGACATTTTAAGGACTTGCTGCGACCAGAGTTAGAGCAGCTTGCGCTGATGTTTGATGACCCTGTTTTAAAACTTGTTTGGACCGTGTAAATAGATTGCTCTCATGTGATGGCTTTTCACAACTTCCTAGGACCACTGGAACGAACTTGCTCTGACGTAAAGGCTTTATATGACTACAAGTCTTCCTAGGCCAATGGAAAAAGATTGCCGACGCCCGATTGAGTTTTGAGAACACATAAACATGTGGTATTTGGATTTAGTTTTTATGGATATTAAATACAGACAGTTATATAAGCGACATGTGGATCAGGATCTGCTTACCCTTCCGGAGCACCTGAGATCACACCTGGTTTTGGTGGGGTTCCTGTTTCTCAGTCTTTAGTTTTCTATGTTGTGTTTTGTGTACTATTGTTTGTCTGTTTGTCTTTTTCTTTTTTAGTCATGGCGTTGTCAGTTTGTTTTCGACTTATCAGTTTGAATGTCCCTTTGGTATCTTTCGCCTCTCTTTTAAAAAGCAGTGTTTTCAACTTATGGTATTTACTAGATATAATCTGAATCTTAATCTGAATCTGATATAAAGAGGAGATTTGGTATGATTGCTAATGAGACAACAAGTTAACTTGAATGTAATCAAATGTATACGTCTTTAAAGTCAAAATAAACCCCAGAGAATGAGTATATATCGTGTAACGTTCAACAACATGTATAATGTATTGAACATCCGGGCACAGTCTGTAAATGCCTCTCCCAAGTTAGGAGCCTGTAATTCAGTGGTTGTCGTATGTTGTTATATCACACTAGTATTTGTTTTCCGTTTATTGCTTCATACATAAATCTGACCGTTTGTTTTCTCAATTGTATTGTTTTCCATTTGTCAGGTCTGTGCCTTTTAAAGCTTGCTGTGTGGTATGGGTTTTGCTCATTGTCGAAGGCCGCCTTAAGGTTGTATTTTTAGATGCTAACTTCTACCTGTCTGATTGGCAATTATACTACATCTCTTATCTCTCTATATATATTTTAATATAACGTAGAAACAAACAAGTCAGTGGCGGATCCAGACGATTAATGCATTTGAATGGGGACATATGGTTGGAACCCCCACCCCTTTTCTCCTGGGTAGGGAACCCCCTTTTAAAATGGCTGGATCCGACCCTTCAAGTATAAACTGTCAATTATAATTTAAAGGTATAAAACATTACATGTATGTAAAAATTTCAAGTCAAACACGCAACATTTAAATTAATGATATTGATTTCTGACATGTACACAGATTTTAAAGAAGGAGCAGCTGAATTCGTTTGGCGTTTCGAAGACTAAAATGAAGATCGTAATAATACTTATGGAGGTTTTCTGTGTTGGCCTTGCCTTGTCTGTGAAACAAAGAAGTAGTCAATTGAATGGAAGTAGTAATCAATTACTATTGTACTTCCTAACTAAAGTAGAAAAACTTGACACAAAAGTGGATAAGATTCAACTGGAGAATACTGAAATTAAAAGTAAACTAAATGGTTTACAAACAGACATTAGACTTTTAAAAGGTAAGATGATTTAGATGTTTACTAGCTGAATTGTATCATCATTGTATAACTTTTGCTATTTAACTCTAAAATAACAATATAATAGATAACAAAACCATAAAACTTTCAAACAAAAATATCAAATGATATTGATATATCGTATTTGCAGTTTCTGAACGCCAGCTCAAAGTGTGAGATGATATTATGCCGTCTCATACTCTGATATCTGTCGCTGTTTTTCACAGCTGATTTAAAAAAAAAGTAAAGCAATCAGAGTACAGAAAGAAACGACCTTGTGAAATGACCAGAACAAACTGACTAGAATTTCAATGAAAATTGTTCGTAGAATAATCGCATGCTCTAGCCTAATGCAGTCATACTATAAAACTACTTTACTGTTCTAAATGTGCATGTGTGCCCTAAGGGTTGACCGACACAAGGAAGTATAGTACCTGAATTTCTCCCGTCCGACTTCTAGCTAAAGTGGTGCATACATATGATTGGAGGGATGTCGTATAAAAACGCTGTCACATTCGGATGAAATGGGGACGTTAAATCCAAGGACTCGTATAGGGAGAGTGCACACTATCTGCGCGGTAAAGAACACTCTTTGTCCCTTTTGGTTTTACCAGGTCTTGAGTTATTGATTTTATTGGATTTTCAAATATTTTGGCCTAGAACACCAATGAAGAGACATTTATTGTCGAAATGGGCATATACAAAAATTGGTCTCCTCAATGTTATTGCAACAGTTTTCTGAGGGGTCTGTATAAATGTGCCCTGTTTCAAGGTAAAATGTCTGCCTCTGTCGTGGTCATCCAAATCCCGGATAGGATAGAAAGATTAAATGAAGTGGAGGTAAGCAGTTGTAGGCAATCTTACGGCCTTCAACAACCAGAAAAAAACCATGGTTTTGATTTACTGATAACGAAATCAACATTTATACCAATACAAACAATATTCAAAGATATGATTACAATGTTACATAGGTAATCTTTTCGAATAAGTTTATTTAAAGGATCGATATGTTTACCCGGATCGCATCTAAATTTTCGGGCTCAGTAAACAACATTACCGCAAAAATTAGGATGTGCTAAGATTTCTACAGGTACAGCTAAACTTCACAAACAAATGTTTGCATCTATGGAAGAATTTAGTAAAGGTTGTTAGTAGTTTGTTGTGACGACATCCTTGACTCAATAATTTACCAGTAGTACGTCACTACGACACCGGCATAGCAGACGAATTGGGATATATGACACCGGACGATAATGCCAAAGGAACACCACCGTCCATGTTGAACCTGACTATTGTTTCAATTGATAATTTGTTCTCGTCCTGAAAATGCATAACATATTTTCCACCGGACGTTCAGTGATCAACAATTAATCAATCATAAATCTCCCTGGTCTTAGTAATCTTTAGTTAACACTCTTTTGAATGTGTTTTTTTAATATATTTGTAATGTTTCATCTTAAATGTCAGAACTCTACATTCCGACAAAAGTGATGATTTCATCTTCTAAATTGTGAACTTTGCATTTTTATGTAGAAACATTCCAGCAGCGCTTGCATACGGAGTATATATCTCCCAGTTGATACTATATCCCAGGGCTTGTATTTCCTTCCATAATTTTCTTTATCGAGGGTTACTGCTTACAAGTAAGCTATCAGACAAAGAGTTCCAAGTGGTGAAGTTAAAATCATGCCTTAGTTAATTTTTCAGATGCCATCACAAGTTGGTTGACCGTTATGGAATATCTGTTTCATAGATTACGACGGATATGTTCCAATTGTCTGAACTACAAAGCCGTCTCCTTTTCCCCAAATGTGACCTACCGAATTAGACTTATCACTGGGTTTGCACTTAAATGAGCAATACAATGGTTGTCACATGTGGAGCAGGATATGTTTACCCTTCCGGAGCACCTGCATGATATCACCCTTAGTTTTGGTGGGGTTCGTGTTACTCAGTCTCCATCTTACTAGAAGTTGTGATTTATTTGTTGATTTTTTAAGATTTCCAGATACTCTCAATACAAATAATAGCAATAGAAATTCCTTTGACCATTTTATAGATTTCATAGATGTGTTGGATCATGTGCCTCGTGAAATGACCAGAACAAACTGACTAGAATTTCAATGAAAATTGTTCGTAGAATAATCGCATGCTCTAGCCTAATGCAGTCATACTATTAAACTACTTTATTTCTGGCAATTTATAATAAAGAACAGACATATTGAAAAAATGGCCACGAACAATCTCATGAAATTTTGTCATTATTGTAAACATATATCACCCGCACCATGCAAACCACGAACTCGGTCTGTAAATTACTTTGCTTTTTGTGTGTTTATTTGCTGTACATGTACTGATGTTCTGTTATGGATGGATACCCCACATCTTCGATTGCAAATATAAATATCAGATCAACATCAACAACAGACCTCACAGAGAAATCTTAAGAGTTCGGAATGATGAAAAAAGAAATGAGTGCATGGACGTTGGAGCATATATAAATAAAATTACCAAATATACTTTTTTCTGTATTTATGTAGATACGATCCAAAACCATTGTGACCACGGATGGTTCAAATTCAGGAATAACTGCTATTTATTTACATTCACCAGTGTAACATGGCACCATGCACAGGTAAATATGTTCCATTTCATTCCTAATTTATTGTAAGCGATAAAACAAAATTTATATTTTCGTATAATGTCTCACAGCCTTTCGCTAGTTAAATGTCTTCTAAGAAATTCAGAAAACTGGGACACGAAGATAAGAATAATGTACACAAAGTATTGTCCAAATACTCTCACCTCGTATTCCGTAACTTTCTCCACTGGACGTTGGTCAAGTTTTATGAACGTCCTCCACAGGGCGCCAGTCAAGTTTTATGAACGTCTTCCACAGGGCACCAGTAAAGTTTTATGAACATCCTCCACAGGGCGCCAGTCAAGTTTTATGAACGTCTTCCACAGGGCGCCAGTTACGTTTTTTAAAGTCCTCCACAGGACGTCAGAATAAAGTTCTATGAATGCAGCTGCTTTATAATCAATATTTTTGCCGATTTTTCGTGATTAAGATTTAATTAAAAAAGTACCAAAAAAAAAAAGAATTGCTGGCAATATTTATTAAAATCCTCGATAACAAATCAAACATTGTAAATATTGATAATGCTTATTCTGTTTTAAAGGATATATGTAAATCAAAGAAAAGTAGCTTGGTAAAAATAAACGATGCAGTAGAAAATCGATGGGTAGGCACCAAAATTACAAATGCAGGTTAGTAAAAATTCAAATTGGAGATAATAGTAGGCAACCCTCTTCCCTATAACTATCCCTTTGTGTGTACATATTTTGTGGATATTCTACTGCATGTGCCTGATCGCAATCACACCCTTGATGTTTGAATTTTCAAATGTTTTGGCCTTGAGCATCACTGAAGAGACATTGGTTGCCGAAATGCGCATCTGGTGCAGAAAAAAATTTGGCACCGTATATGTTATTCTTACCAGATATTTATTTATTTATATATTTCATCGACTATTCTAAATGTGCATGTGTGCCCTAAGGGTTGACCGACACAAAGAAGTATGGTACCTGAATTTCTCCCGTCCGACTTCTAGCTAAAGTGGTGCATACATTTGATTGGAGGGATGTCGTATAAAAACGCTGTCACATTCGGATGAAATGGGGACGTTAAATCTAAGGACTCGTATAGGGAGAGTGCACACTATCTGCGCGGTAAAGAACACTCTTTGTCCCTTTCGGTTTTACCAGGTCTTGAGTTATTGATTTTATTGGATTTTCAAATATTTTGGCCTAGAACATCAATGAAGAGACATTTATTGTCGAAATGGGCATATACAAAAATTGGTCCCCTCAATGTTATTGCAACAGTTTTCTGAGGGGTCTGTATAAATGTGCCCTGTTTCAAGGTAAAATGTTTGCCTCTGTCGTGGTCATCCAAATCCCGGATAGGATAGAAAGATAAGGAGATGGGTCAATGATACAATTATTCACCAAAGCTTAAATGAAGTGGAGGTAAGCAGTTGTAGGCAATCTAACGGCCTTAAACAACCAGAAAAAAAACCATGGTTTTGATTTACTGATAACGAAATCAACATTTATACCAATACAAACAATATTCAAAGATATGATTACAATGTTACATAGGTAATCTTTTAGAATAAGTTTATTTAAAGGATCGATGTGTTTACCCGGATCGCATCTAAATTTTCGGGCTCAGTAAACAACATCGACGCAAAAATTAGGATGTGCTAAGATTTCTACAGGTACAGCTAAACTTCACAAACAAATGTTTGTATCTATGGAAGAATTTAGTAAAGGTTGTTAGTAGTTTGTTGTGACGACTTCCTTGACTCAATAATTTACCAGTAGTACGTCACTACGACACCGGCATAGCAGACGAATTGGGATATATGACACCGGACGATAATGCCAAAGGAACACCACCGTCCATGATGAACCTAATTATTGTTTCAATTGATAATTTGTTCTCGTCCTGAAAATGCATAACATATTTTCCACCGGACGTTCAGTGATCAACAATTAATCAATCATAAATCTCCCTGGTCTTAGTAATCTTTAGGTAACACTCTTTTAAATGTATTTTTTTAATATATTTGTAATGGTTCTTCTTCAATGTCAGAACTCTACATTCCGACAAAAGTGATGATTTCATCTTCTAAATTGTGAACTTTGCATTTTTATGTAGAAACATTCCAGCAGCGCCTGTATACGGAGTATATATCTCCCAGTTGATACTATATCCCAGGGCTTGTATTTCCTTTCATAATTTTCTTTATCGAGGGTTACTGCTTACAAGTAAGCTATCAGACAAAGAGTTCCAAGTGGTGAAGTTGAAATCATGCCTTAGTTAATTTTTCGGATGCCATCACAAGTTGGTTGACCGTTATGGAATATCTGTTTCATAGATTACGACGGATATGTTCCAATTGTCTGAACTACAAAGCCGTCTCCTTTTCCCCAAATGTGACCTACCGAATTAGACTTATCACTGGGTTTGCACTAAAATGAGCAATACAATGGTTGTCACATGTGGAGCAGGATATGTTTACCCTTCCGGAGCACCTGCATGAGACCACCCTTAATTTTGGTGGGGTTCGTGTTACTCAGTCTCCATTTTACTAGAAGTTGTGATTTATTTGTTGATTTTTTAAGATTTCCAGATACTCTCAATACAAATAATAGCAATAGAAATTCCTTTGACCATTTTATAGATTTCATAGATGTGTTGGATTATGTGCCTCCAACGCATGTCCAATCAAAACGACCGATTGATAATAATGACTGTTTGCAGTGACGGATGCAGGGGGTGCTGAAGGCGTCGCCACATACTTTGATTGAAAAATGTTTGTTTTACCATTACTGACAAATACGCCGTCCCGTCTTTTCTTGAACCCTTGTTTAATCCCTGATATTTTTTTTTAGCATACCTTGCCTAAAAGACCAAGTCAGCTTTTCTCATCACTTGACGTCAGATATATGTTCGTCGTTGTCGGTCGTCGTCTGTTAACGTTTTCAAAAATCTTCTCCTCTGAAACTTAATGATCATTGGGGTATCTAGTCTTAAAAATCTGTCTGGTGACCCCGCCTGCCAACCAAAATTACCGACTTGGCTAAAAATAGAACTACGGGTAATATGCAAGTCTTGCCTATTATTTTGAAAACAACTATAAATAGAGAAAATTTGACAGGGGCAAAAATGTTCAGAATGTTGAGCTTTACTTATTGTTCATATATGCCAAAACTGTCAGATGACTTCTTATAGGAGTTATTGATCAGCAATACAATTTCTACAAATAAGTCAACATGACCGAAATCTTCAGTCGACTTCTTATTAGAGTTATAAACTTTAAATAGCAAAAATGGCCAGTAAGGCAAGATCTACAAGTAAGTCAACACGACCGAAATTGTTAGTCGACTTTTATTGAAGTTTTTGCCCTTTAATGACGATTTTCCCCATTTTTGCCTATTATCTTGAACACTGTGGTAGATGGATAGACACTTTAAATAGAACAAATGATCAGCAGGTCAAGATCCACAAATAAGCCAAATGGCTGAAATCTTCAGTCTACTCTTAATTGGAGTTATTGCAATTTAATGATAACTTTTAGCATTTATGCCTTTTATTTTGAAAACTATAATAGATACAATGACTTTACAAAGGAAAAATTGTCAGCATGATAAGATCTACAAATATCTCAACATGACTGAAATTGTCAGTTAACACTAAATAGAATTATTCCCCTTTAATGATGATTTTTATTAAAACGTGGATATTGTTGAAGATGCAGGTTAGCGACACAGGCTCTTTAAAGACTCTAGTTTACCATCCAGATTTTTTTTTCTTCATTTAGCAATCATTCAATTGTAACTACTCTGCTGACATTTAGGCATTTATTTTACTTTAGTTACGTTATCATATTGCTTATACAGCAGACCGTACAAAAAATAGCCTTGTAATTGTAGGTAAAACAGAGATTTGGTTAGGTGGAAATGATCCGACTGGAAGAAATAAATGGATGTGGATTTCTGATTTCACAGAGTTGTATTACACAAACTGGTCCCCTGGCAACCCAAGTGATAACAAAGAGCAATGCATGATGATGTATTCAAGGTCGTTTAAGTGGAATGATGGAGAATGTGACTCAAAGAGAGGCGGTTACATCTGTGAAAAACGTTTATAGATATCAGACAGGGAACGACAATTTAATGTTCTGGGGGAGCAGGAGGATTTGAAAAATAAATAACTTATCCGTGTAAGAACTGAACACAAGTCGGGATGAAAATGAAGATTGTGCATCATAAAATGCATGAAACAAATGTGTTCAAAAGTGAAAATAAAAAAGTGTGTGTAGCAACAGATGTAAATAAATTGTGAAACACGAAAAAATCTCCTCCCCAGAATATCAAATGGTCGTCCCTTATGCGGTCGATGCATTGGCAAGATTTCAGAACATTTTTTTTATGTGTTATTCAACGGCTCATTAGATTTTATCTCAAATGATAAGCAAATTACAGCTATTAAAAAGAATGTTTAAGTTATTCATTAAAAGTTGTAATGATTTGAATTGAGTATTCATTTTTAGTATTTAGAAAAAAAAACAGATTTAAGGGATAACTGCATTTACATTTCGTTCTTTCAAAATTCACTATTAAACGAGTGGTTCATTGATTTCACTTTTATGTCTTGACCTTGAAACTTTTCTTCGAAAAAATCAAGTTCAACGGACTCGACTCCTATAATATGTTTTCAACGTTATACAGCTAGAAAGCTGTCTTTTTGCAGATGGTGGTATTTTGGGCAACTGTATGGGTTGTTATGATTGGCTGTGTTATTAGCCAGAAGCGTCATTGCAGTAATTTTATGATGTCAAAAACTTCCTTAACACTAAATGATTATAGAATAACTAATCGAAGAATTCAAATATCGAAAAATACCCAACGAGTGACCGAACAACACATTAATTCACGAATGCGCGTAGCGAGTTGAATATTTTTCGATCTTTGAATTCTTTGATTAGTTATTCTTTTTATTACATTGGCAAATGGCTTTTTCAAATGAAATTAATGTAGAAAATGTAAGGAACTATATCTTTTTTCTACGCATTCACAATTTTTTTTGATCTGACGTTATCGACGTATTGACAACGCCTATTGTTGTATGACGTCAGAGAGTGAAATAACCACGTTTATTTCACATGTGAAATTATCGGTTTTTATTTGACTGAGAAATCAATGTAATTCATTGCTACCAATGTAATAAAATAATTTATTTGGTACTATGGTGATTGTAAATTGAATCACAGACAAATATATTGGTTTTCACTAATTTTTATCCTTTTCACCGGAATTTCAGGGAAAAGACGCTATTTATTAAAAATACGTCATTAATATTTTAAGGTGCGTTTGACAATCAACTAATATTCTCTGTTCTAACAGTTGTTCAGACAGAATTTATTATTTAGAAGACCGAATATGTATAAATATTGACACCTTGCAAAATAAAAAATTGTTTGTCCTTGACCTTTTATCGTGATTTGACATAAAAATTGCACCGTACGAATAGTTGACGACCGGACAAAAAAGATAGTACAGATGATATGCTTTCGAATGCTATATGATTTAGCCGTATATTAGGTGGTTGCATTAAATGTTAATTGTAAAAAATATTGCAAGAAATTTTTCCGAGGGACCATTTAATCAAATAAGGCACTTGTGTTATAAATATTAAGGAATCCAAATGTTGAGAGGAGGTTACTCAGCTGAAACGTGGTAATGCTAACATTGTTTACTTTTGACTCACGGATCTGGATGTAGAAGATAATATAATTCCATTCTAAAGATATACCGTGTGATATTCAGGTTTGTGAAATAAATCAGTGAATATTCCGTGTAAAAAGAAATCTTATAATTATTTCAGGGATTTTGTGAAATCCCTAGTTAAAATCTGAAATTTTATAAAATCACTAATCAGTTCAGTGTTTTACAAAACTCATTACGTTTTAGGAATTTTACAAATGCAATGTGACAAAAGCATTGATTCTGACAATGAAATTATCGATAATATCGGATTACCAACTCATACCGTCATTACCAATCCGGAAAAATCAAACCCTATCATCATTATAAAAAAAGACAACAAAAAAAAAGGACAATCGCACAGCAAAAACCTCAGAACCACTAAGACAAGTAAAAGTGCTTGCAATAAATTTTCAGTAGATAAAGAACCAAAAAAAAAAAAAAACCTGAAGCTAAACCATCATTGACTCTTGAAAGCCCAGCATAATATTTGGTATTGAAACGTGGTTCTCAAATGACACCTCCCCATACGAATACATCCCAGCCTCTAAATACAATATCTATACCAAAAAAAACCCCAAAAAACAGAAAGGTTGACTATGGGGGAGTGTTACTAGCTATCTCAAACCAGCTTACATCCACACAAATCACTAATACGGGTACTGACCTAGACATCGATACAAATTGTGAAAATGTGTGAGCAGAAATATCTTATGAAGGAAATAAATCACTCTACTTATGTACTCACTGTGACCATCCGATAAAGGAGAATCCCTAGAACAACTTGGTATCTCACTCAATAGAATATTATGCAAGAAAACAAACTCAAATATCTGGGTAAGCGGCGATTTCAATCTTAGCCACATAGACTTGAACACACCAGCAGTCATACCTAGTAAACCTTATGCATCACTACACCAACAACTCCTTGACATATTAAATGACAACAACTTAACACAAGTCATAAACAAGAACACCAGAAACGATACAATTCTAGACCTGTTGTGTATGACCAACCCATCATTTGTTGATAGAGCCGAAACATAACCACACATTGGAGCGAGCGATCACGACATTGTTTACAGTGAAATATAATTAGCCCTGTCGCAAAATAAACAACAGGTTAATAAAGTATTAAACTACAAAAAGGCAAATTGGGACCAAATAGAAAAAGACCTCAATGAAACCTACAAACAACTAAAACAAGCTCAAAATAAAATGAGTCTCGATGAACTATGGAATACTTTCAAAACCAACATCCAAAAATCTATTGATAAGAATATTCCAACAAAAAGCATTAGTTACCTTGAGTAAATAACCAATTAAAAAAAGCTGATCAACTAGAAAAACAAACTGTATAAAAATGATAACAGATACTTAAATAATGATTGAGGCCAAATTTAGTTTAATATTGGCCCCGTAATTTATTAAAAAAAATCCTGGTGGCCATCTTGAACAGTAAATCAGCAACAAAGTAGCAACACTTCATCAGCACCTCATAAGGAACATGTATGCCATGCTTGGTTTCATTCCATTCATTGGTTCTCTAAAAGAAGATATTTGTATGTATTTTGCTTCATTTCCCTTAGGGTCCTATGTTAAACCTAGTCCTTCGCTGGCGACCATCTTGGATGATGGATCGGCTTCAAATTAACAACACTAGGTCAGCACCTAATAAGGAACATTCATGTCATGTTTGGTTTCATTCCACTCAGTGGTTCTCTAAAAGAAGACATTTGTATGTATTTCCCGTATGGTCCTATGTTAAACTAAGTCCCCAGCTGGCGGCCATCTTGGATGATGAATTTTTGATTTTGAAATAAAGTCGCCAGACCAACCATGCTTCAAAAATACACCATACAAATATATTCTTATATAAAAAGCCAGAAAAATTAAAACACCGGCATAGCTCCTTTAAGAAGTGAAAGTACATTGTACTCAAGTCCATCTGAGAAAGCGAATATACTGAATAAACAATTTCATAAAATTGAGAATGGAAATGGGGAATATGTCAAAAAGACAACAACCCGACCAAAGAGCAGACAACAGCCGAAGTCCACCAATGGGTCTTCAGCGCAGCGAGAAAATCCCGCACACGAAGGTTGGCCTCAGCTGGCTCCTAAATACAATTGTGTACTAGTTCAGTGAAAATGAACGTCATACTAAACTCCAAAACATATAAATGAACTAAAATTAAAAAGCATACTAGACTAACAAAGGCCAGAGGCTCCTGACTTAGGACAGGCGCAAAAATGCGGCGGAGTTGAACATGTTTTGTGATATCGCCCCCTTCCCCTATCCCTATACCTGTAGCCAATGTAGAATAAAGAAACACACTGCAATACGCACAGTAAAACTCTGTTTAAAATAAGTCCGAGTCCGATGTCAGAATGGGTAACAAAAGAAACTAAGCAAAATGACAATGATACATAAATTAACAAAGGACTACTAGCAGTTACTGACATGCCAGCTCCGGATCTCAATTAAACTGATTGAAATACTGCATAGATATGCTTCTAATAAAAATAGTACTGTGCGACATAAACACAGGGTCAACAAACAAGGCCACCAATGCATCTTCAACGCAGAGAGAAAATCCCGCACACGGAGGTGGGCCTCAGCAGGCCCCTAAATAAAACTGTGTACTAGTTCATCGAAAATGAACGTCATACTAAACTCCAAAACATATAAATGAACCAAAATTAAAAAAACATAAGACAGCCAGCTTTTACATCTGAAGCATATAATAACATTCCAGATAAAGGTCCTAGTATTCATCCCAAAATGAAACTCATTACAATATCTTGGGATGGTGTTAATGAACTTATAAAAAACATAAACCCTAATAAAGCTACTGGTCCTGACACCATCGCAGGCAGAGTACTCAAACAAAACATTGAAATATGTACAGACATCCTCACCTTAATATTTACCAGATCTTTAGAAACAGCCAAACTACTAACTGACTGGAACCACGCGAACGTCACACCTGTATTCAAAACAGGGGACAAACATAACCCAGGTAAGTACAGACCTATATACCTAACATGCATAGCTTGCAAATTACTTGAACACATCTTTGCAATCAGCATGATGCAACATCTAGAAATAAATTCAATAACACACTTTATGAATTACAACATGGATTTAGGGCATAGCGATCATGTGAGTCCCAAGTTATCTCTCTGATTCATGAATAATCACAAAACAATAACAAGAACATACAAACAGATCTCATAATCATGGATTTTGCTAAAGCTTTTGACAAGGTACCACACAAAAGATTACTATATAAAATGAAATACTTTGGCATATCAGAACAAACCATAAACTGGGTCGAATACTTTCTTTCAAACAGTACTTTTAGATAAAATGTCATCTTCAAAAATACCAGTCATATCGGGTGTCCAACAGGGTACAGTGCTAGGACATATACTTATCCTTATTTACATAAATGACCTTCCAGAATACATCCAGCATAGCAAAGTCAGACTCTTCTCAGATGACAGTATAATTTACAGACAAGTTAAATCTCAAAACGACTGCCTCAAGCTTCAAGAAGATCTAGAAGCTGGTAGCAAGACTGGCTCGTATCTTTCCACCCAGACAAATGCAACACCATGAACATAACAACCAAAAGAAATCCCATCCACTTTTACTACAACATGTATGGACACATCTTAGAATCAGTAAAACATGCAAAATATTTAGGTATCACAATTTCTTCAGATCTAAAATGGAACACCCACATCCAACAAACCGGCGCTAA